CTTTACCAACAGAGATAGAGAGAGGGGAAAACATTAGCTGATGGATCGTTGGTAATATTTGATGACCATGTCACAGTTTAGCTAAATTAATTCACACCTCCTCCTGAAGTGACGTGCGATGCATTAAAACATTACTTTCCAGCCGCGGCCGCGCTTCATTCTCGAAATGTATAGTTTGTCTTAAGCAGGGATACAATCAGCCAGTGCAGTCATCCCTTCATAGTAAAAATCGATATTTTGAGTCTAACGGTTTGTTTACTTGTTCATTGCCATTTTCCCGCACGTGAATTCTGACCAATCGATAAGCAGTTTGGGAACTATGTTTAACAACATCTGGCCAATGAGAGATGTGGATTTTCTCAGATAAGTGCATTTTGGTTCTTTTCAACTAGTTCGGACCAAAGCCAGCAGTGTGGTGTGAAAACGACACAGACAGCATGTATCATTTATACGGACCAAATGAAGCTAACTACAGATGTGAAAGCACCCTAAAGCTGCGGTCACACTGTACCTTTCACCCCATAAGCCGCCTTTCCACTGCACACGACATTTGGACAAAACTGTTGGAGTACGCCCCCTTGTGGCTGTCAACCAAAATTTTCAGTGTTGTCGTACACCATGGGAGAAAAGCTTAATTCTTGTGGTGTCTGAAATAGTGCAAAAAGAGCCTTTGTTCACCATGCGTTCACCATGATTGAATGGATGAATGAATGAAACTCATAGACCACTAAAAGGGAGGTAGGGAATGTGGAGACAACATAAAAAAAACTATTTTTTATTACTCATATATGAATAAAAATGTTTTGTTTTTAATATAGACTTTATTCTTATTAATAAAATAACAAAACAAACAAAAAAAAAATACTATTTCTCATCTCGCGCGCATGGACCTGCCTGGACAACTCTAAAATACATCACATCCGGTCGGCCGGTCGCATAGGTCTAGTCACTGGAGTCAAATATTTCAACGGATCCGCAGCTCAATTCAGATCCGAATTTTCCGCATATGGAGATAACCGGAACTCCACATAGTTCCCAGACTACTCTCCACTGGAAATGAATGACTTCCAGTCTGTCGCTTGTCGTTTTTTGTGTGCAGTGGAAAGGAGACTATAGCCTTTAATTTATGCGCATGCGACAAGTTTCGCAGTTCGCTGCATTCCAAAGTTCAAGCTTGATGAACTCCGACTTGCGAAATCGCATCACTTGACTAAGTGAGACCAATCGAGGATCAAAACATAACCTCTCTGGACAGAAATTTCACATATGGACCAATCACTTGCTTTTTTTAAAAAGTCTAATAATCTTGTTTAATCCCGCCCCTTTTCGCATGCCGTATTACAGAATTTCGAATGCTCAAAATCGAGTGTGACCACAGCTTTAGTATACTAGAAACTTTAACAGTGCGTTCACACCGAAAGCGGTGAGAGCGTCCAAGGTCGCTCTGGCCACCCTGGTGACAACGCTGTCTGCCTTCAGCTCCGGTGGCGAGAGCATAAAAATTCGTTACATTGATCTCGTATTTAAAGGGGCCGTTGTAACATATCAGTTACATTCCTGCATAAAACATGCTTTCTAGCGTGAAAATTTTGCACACTTATCAAATTCATTTAACAATGGAAGATCAAGCTGCATGTGGTGTGGCTTTGCTCCACTTAATTATCCAATAAGGGTCCATATGTCTGAAATATCCTGAACCAGCGATACTGTTTTGTACTGTCGTATGAGATTCCGGCTTTTTTAAAGATAAACATATAAATAACATTAATGCACATCAGTAACTCGCCAGTAACTTATTTAATACATGTTCCTATAAGAAAACATTGTAAATAATTAAAAATACGGTTACCGCGATAATCGAACCCTTGGGAACAACTGTGGTCAGAACCAAAGTTGACAGGTCTCTGTTCTCTGAACTCCTCTCAAGCGGTGGACTTCTTCATTCTGCTTGCTTGCCACCGAACTGCGTCAAAGCTGGTTACCATAAAGTTGACTTGATTTCAACTCTCCTCGACGCCCACACCGGCGAAGACGTGCCGCGCTGCTCCTCGCTGCCAGCTATCATTGAAAATGAATGACTTCCAGCTACTTTGACGCTCTCGCCGCTTTCAGTGTGAACCTACAGTAAAGCCTGGTTTATACTTCTGCGTCAAGTGACCGGCGTAACCCACTTCGCATGCAACGGGCGTAGCTTTGCATTTTTTACTTCTGCGCGCTGTTTCTGTTGGTCGGCATTAACACGTCCGAAACGCTAGTAGGCAGTGAGGTGCTAATTTGTCTCTGTGTCGAGTTTCTTTGCTGGTGTTTTGTTCTTTCTGAATGTATAAGTGGCTCAAACTCACTCATTTTGAGGCAATAACCAGCGGACATGTTACAACTTTAACTATGAGGTAAACACAAAACAAAACTTTCCATCCAGAGCTCCTTCACGGGACTCCACACTTGTAAACAATCGCTTCATCGGGCTCATGCGGCTCTCAATCCGGCCCTGACTCGTCAGCGCTACCAAGCCGACCAATCACAGAGCTTGCGATACGCGTTGTTGCGGCGTGTAGTTAAATTTTTTGAAAGATGCACGTCAGCGCCGACAGCCACAACGTAGGGCTATGCGTCAACGCGTAGGCTATGCCATAGCATACTCGTGCGCTTGACACAGAAGTATAAATCAGCCTTAAGGCAGGTGTGTTGACGGAAGTTGGAGCTAAACTATTCAGGACACTTGCCCTCCAGGACCAAGTTTAGGCACCCCTGATTAAGACCTTTACATCTCTACTCTATACGTAATACAATTATAGAAAACAGTACATATTTCCAAGATTCACTTATTTTGTTTATTAAGCTGAAGAGGCCCATTAGTAATCAGTAAAGTTGTTGAGGTCATTGTGTAAGACGAAAGACCCTGCATGTCCCTTCAAGCCTTTTGATAAATGTACATTGCGTTTTCACATTTCTGTTATTTCTTGGTTTGTTTTGCTCATTGTTACAGAAGAGTGTTTTACTTTTTCTTGCTTTATTTGATTTGGTCATGTACACTTACAGAAAACTAGACTGCATACTAATTTCTTTTCTTCTCGCTTCTTTTCAGGAGGGGAGTTAGTCATCCCCGTTCTAGTCGAGGATCCTATAGACATCCCTCCTATTTCCACTCGGGTCCCTTTCATCCCCCTTCCCCCGACCCTTCACCCTGTCCTCACCATTATTGAAACCACCAAAGAGTCCCTGTCAATTGCCACCGAGGCGGGGGTACCTTGCTTTTCGGACCAAGGCAGAGATGATTGTGATGATGATGATGGTGATGATGATGATGGTGATGGCTTGGTGATTTCGGGGTTTGGCTCTGGGGAGGTCTTCGACTCTAGCCTCCCCCCTACTGACGATGAAGATTTTTACACCACCTTCTCCCTGGTAACAGATAAGATCTTGACTACATCGACTTATGAAGGTGGCTACAAAGCTCTTGCGCCCAAGTGGGAAGAAAAGGACTTTAAACCAAAAAAGCCTTCTGAGGTGGGCAGGATTACGGCCATCCCGCCACTGCCTGACCTCAGGAGCTCGGCAGCATCACCTGTCAGACCTGAGCCTGCTCCCAAAATCCCAGCAGGGAAAATGAATAACCGCGAGGTCAAACCCCAACCGGATATAGTGCTGCTGCCGCTCCCCACGTCTTTCGATATGGATGGCACCAAACCGAAGGGGCCGTACATCACACAGCCCATGTTGCGGACCATCCCCAGTGCCCTACCCACTGTGCCAGGTATCAGGAGAGTGCCCCCTGGTGCCTCGGAGGTAATACGAGAGTCCAGCAGCACTACGGGCATGGTGGTGGGTATCGTTTCTGCTGCTGCTCTTTGCATTCTCATCCTTCTCTATGCCATGTACAAATACAGAAACAGGGACGAGGGTTCCTATCAGGTAGATGAAACCCGGAACTACATCAGTAATTCGGCACAGAATAACGGCACAGTAGTGAAAGACAAACAGCCCAGCACTAAAGGTGCCAGTAACAAGAGACCCAAAGACAAGGACAAGGAATACTATGTATAAAAGAACATTCCAATGACAAAACACAGAGACAGAGCAACATCTGAGAAATCATGAACAGGGGAAATTGATTTTACACAGAAAGTACTTTAAGAACTCAAACAGAGTCAAAACGATTCACAAGTTTTGTGATTTGAAGCACACTTAAGCGCATGGTGAGCATAGGGAGAAAGCAAATCAGGACCTTGATACCTTGTGTCTGATTGTGGGACGGTGCCAGTGTAAAATATGTCATTGTTACATTGTTATCCCTCAAGTGACTTTCTGAGGTACAAAATCCTTGGTGTAAAAAAAACGAAAAGAAAAAAAAAAGAAAGCAAAAAATACCCTTGTCCATTGTAACCCTGTACAAATCAACTACAGTCATGGATAATGGTCATGATTTCGGGCATGCATGTGATGTGTGTGATATAGCACTGATGTCTTCGCAAGGAGGAAAGCTAGAGAATGTTGTTTTGGGAATGGAAAGTGGGAATATTTGCCATAAACAGTACTTTTCTAACCCACACAGGTGAAGAAATGTTTGTCTTTTTTTATTGTGCTGTTGGAATATGTTTCAGGGTTTACTCTGCAAAAGATTCATTTTATTTACATACTTTTTTTCCCCTTTTGTTTCCATGTAATTTTTCCCATCTATTTCTTTCCTGATTGTCTATCAAGGAACTTCATTTGTATTCTGACTGATTTATGCACAGATACATCTGCTAAGCATACATTTCATATGGAAAACAAGGCATCCTACATTACATTTAGAACTCACCCTTTGGTTTTCGGTGCATTAAGTACATTTCAGTACGCACACACACAGACACGTGGAGCAACTGTTAACATAATCTGAATGAAGCAGTCTGATATCTGCAGAAGCTCTGCAGAAAGGACAAAGTCAGTGTGAATGAGTATCTATTTTATGTTGTCACAGTCAACTGTGTCAAACAATAAATGTTTACATATTTTATTACATCATAAATATGGTACTTTGTAGTTCATTTATTGTATACAAGTTATTTTTGAAAATGTCATACTCCTCCTGTACAATCTGAACGGCTAGCATTATAGCTCAAACAGAGAAACGTCTGAGCCGACGTTGAAAGTGAAAGATAAAAATCCTAAAATAAGATTGGAAATAGGATGTATGCCATACCTGTCAACATTGGGATGTGGAAATAAGGGATATGCCTACCATAATACGGGATTTCCCCCACCCCCCACAGTTAAATGGTCAGTAATAAGTTTTATTATTATTATTTACAAAAGAAAAAAATAAATGGTATACATGAGCAGTAAATAAATTAGCACACAGTTCAGTTTCTTAAAATTAAAAGCTATTATAATGAAATAAAATCAAGCTATCAAATCTCATTACCCGTTTCATCACTGTATAACTTACACCTTCTGATTAAAGAGCAACGAATAAATTAATTTATTTCGATTTTTATTTGATTACATTATATAACAGAGGTGTCACTTTAAAAATGCACACATCTAACGTTATAATGAAAGCATTCCATTGCTTTCCGAACTTTTTATGCTTATTTTGGACGAAATTAGTTGAAAAAAAAAAAAAAAAACACTAAGATCAACATCTTTAAATGTTACTATTATTAATTATGTGTATATGTCTGTTTAAACACACACCCAAAACCCAGACTCCGCTTCAAATCATTTGTACAGATTCCGTTTGGGAAACAGCGCCCGTTTATAACTATGGAGCACGTCAGCTGACAGTCACGCACCGCTATATGACTGTTTTGAGGATTGCATATGAAGGGGAGACGGCACCTGTAATGAAAAGGAAGGGAATCCCGCCGTTTTTATATTTATTTCAAAGTGTTTTCATGCCTAAACAAAGCAAAAGCACAGAACAGGCTCATGTTTAAGAGCAAAGGACGGCCCCTGGTGGCTCGGCGGTATGGGTTGCGTATAGGGAGGTCGACTCTTTAATGTTTACAGCCACTTTTCAGAGAAACCCTGAAAAACTGGAGAAATACGGGAAAATACCTTTACGGGATGATAGCGGGATATAACTGTAAAATACGGGAGAATCCCGGGAAAAACGGGAGGGTTGACAGGTATGGTATATGCATAGCTAGTGTTTTTCAGCCAATGATGAACTTCCGGTGAAAGCTTTTTAACGTCATAAGGTTCTTTTCCAGCATCGATGTTGTAATGTAATTATAATACATTCAGTTAAATAGATTTAAGCATTTATTTCGATGTTTAAGCATAAAACAAGATGAAAGATCGCTAGCGCTGTCAGGATCAGCAGGCGAGCGCAGAAACTCCATTGAAAATACTGGGGTCATATTTTAAAGATGTGGCAGGGGGAACTGGAATTTAATGCAGTGCTTCTTGCTGGGTCTGAGACCGTCTCATTATCATATATCTTCCTTGGCCGGGAAGTGCAAAACAACATTACAAATTGTGAAACACTTTTACAAAGCTCGAGTCAAATTTACATTTTGAAAAATATTTTTACCTATCATCAGACACAATTACTTAGGAAAAACAATTTTACCAAGGAAGAAACAAATTTACATTTTAGAAAAAAATTAACAAGATGCAAAACACTTTTACAAGTCCCGAAACAAATTTACAATTACAGATTCCCTACGGAAGGGAAATATATCACACACTGGAAGTGACCAGGAATGTACCACTCCCCGGGAGAGACGCGGGGAAAAGTTTTGTTGTTGGTGAGCGCGGTAAATTCGTACTGTGGAGTACATGGCGTAAACAAAGTTTATGGTGACCGAATATGGACTGTGGTCGAGGGTTGTTTTGCCCGTTTTGTGGCAAACACATGAGCAGCTTAACACTTTACGTGTGGTCGGTGTTTGGAGATTATTAAGGACGTGAAGCAGACAAGCTGCATCCAAGTGTTCAATATTTTAACGAAGGCCACTCGTACGCTGTAATCATGGACATGATGTCAAGTCTACACGGTGTAAACATCTGCTTGAGGACTCTTAAGAGTAAACTGAATGAAGCCGGTGTTACGGTTTAACTGGTGTACGTGTTAACTGAGGCCCCTTTTCAGATGTAAACTATTCTAGCACAATCTCACGGCAATTCGTAACTTTGTGATTTAGTGGCTAATTTATATGAATTCGTACAATTTAGTACGATTTGCTCATCATCCAATGACAGTTGAGGTTAGGGATGAGGTTAGGTGTCACTCCTCCTTTTTAAAATCTTACATTTTCGTACGACTAAACTCGACGAATACGAATTCGTACGAATTAGCCACTAAACTGACAAAACGTAAAATACTTAAGTTTCCTTGTGAGATCAGGCTGACTATTTACGTTTGCAGATTGGCAGATTCGTCACTTTTTCCATAAAACCAAAATTAATGTAAAGAAATAATTATAATTGACATGTCATCAACTGGTTTCAAACCCAACTGAAGGGGTTCTGCACTAGTATAAATCGACCTAACTAACTGAGCTCAGGTCTACAGGTTGGGTCGGTTTTGATATCTTTATCAGTCAACATGTGCCGTGCTATGATTGTTTCCATGTACTTGTGTTTACATGTTTCTCCCAGCCTGATCTCACGAGGAAACGTACATATTTTACGTTTTGACACTTTAGTGGCTAATTTGTACGAATTCGTACAAGTTTAGTCGTACGAAAAGGTACAATTTTAAAAAGGAGGCTTGGCACCCAACCCCACCCCTAACCCCAACCGTCATTGGGTGTTGAGCAAATCGTACTAAATTGTACAAATTGGATCGAACGAATTCATACGAATTAGCCACTGAATCAAAAAGTTACGAATTGCCCTGAGATTGTGTTGGTTTGTACATACTCTCACGCTGATATTTTCTCAGAATAGCTCTAATATGTTTTATCGCAGTTGTTCAAGCCATGATTTTTATAGTTGTAGACTCGTAGAAACCTGTGTCGACAGTCACACATGAGCTGATATTTTCCGGTATGTGGTACATTCCCTTTCCGTAAGGAATCTGTAATTGTAAATTTGTTTCGCGACTTGTAAAAGTGTTTTGCGTCTTGTAAATTTTTTTCTAAAATGTTAATTTGTTTCGTCCTTGGTAAAATCGTTTCTCCTGCGTAAATGTCTCTGATGATAGGTAAAAATGTTTTTCAAAATGTAAATTTGAGCTTTGTAAAAGTGATTCACACTTTGTAATGTTGTTTTTCACTTCCCGGCCACCATATGATATCGACTAAGTGAAGATTGCTGACTTTTAAAGAAATCAGACCTTAAACGTGGCAATTTTAAAATGCAAAAACTGTTCACCGGAAGCGCTGAGGCTGGCTAGCTGAGATTAAAAGTCTGTGCACACACCCCATTTAAAGGAAGATTTGATTTAGGTAGAAACATATACAATGTCATAATGTATAAATAAGACAACGGCAATCTGATCAAACTTCCGGTGGCCACTCAATAAGCCATGTCAAATTACAAATAAAAGCTTTTGCTTTGCTGCTTCCACTGATATACTGAATTTATGCTGAATTTTGCAACGCATACAGTGTTTCGAGAGTATTGTGTGCTATTTTCTCAGTGGTGTTGAGTCAGATATGAAAGATGGCATCAGTAACCCTCTACAATTTAAAGCCAAGTCTCCATGCTACTACTCATTTTAAAGTATTTTAACAATATTACAAAAGTTGATGACAAAGGTAAATGATTGATTGGATTCATAATGCTGCCACATTTCTGAAGTTAGCCATTTCTTTTTATTATAATTTAATATTGTTTTCCCTTTGTCTCATTCAGTGTATGATTTTCACCATGTTTCGCTGCAGTCAAGGTTTGTTGCTTATGACCATTGATGCTGGCAGTAGATGAATACCCTCATCTTTTTTATCATGTATATTTATTGTATTTACACTCATATTTGTCATTTAGATTTTGTGTTTTCAATTTTTTATTTATTTATTTTATTTATCAGTTTTAACTCTGATTCTGTGTCCGGCAATAAAATGTTCACCACTGTTTTCAATGCTAGTGTGCAATTTTCAGGTTTGTTTTCTTATTCGTTTGTTCTGTTTTAGGTTTTATATTCCATTAATGACATACAACTGGACAATGACATTGCAATTGACCTAATTAAAATAAATATTCTGTTCATTGAGAGAACAGTAACATGTAGTAATTTGTCTGTATTAATAGACTAAGAATTTTGACCAGATAAATAGCACACCATGGTTTCTGCTACATTCAATCTGCCATGGCGGGGCGGCACGCCAAAGTTTATCCCGCCATGGCTACATTACAGCTTCTCATTCACAACATTCAGTCATTGCTGTTTTTTAATAGCAGAAAATAATTGCATCAAAACGCATTAAAAGTTAAGTGAATTATAAAAGCGCAACTGTAACCGCCCATAATGATGCTCTAAAAGGAGTGGTAGCAACTTTTTTAAAGAAGAACCCCATATTTTCAAATTATATTGTTTTACACACACACAAAAAAAAAAATAAATAAAATTATAATTATAAAATAATATTAATTAAAATATATGTAAATGACACATATAGGCGTGTCTCCTTTAGAAATATTGAGAACATTACATATTCTATTCTAAAAAAAATAATAATAATAATAATAAAAACACATATTTTAATATATATAAATCATATAAATAATGAGAATGAAATTTTACATTTATTATTTATTAGGAAATGAAAAATAGTAATGAAATAATAATATTTCAATAGCAAATGCATTAGCGCTCATTTGTGTGCCCATAGGCGTTCTGGTCTGAAAAGGAAACGAGATTAATTATTTATAGGCTAATTGATGTCTGTGCGTAAAGGTTTCCCAATCCAAGAGCGAATTTGAAAGTAGTTCCATTATCTCTCATTCTCACGCAGTAGATGCTCTGTTTAACAGTTTTCTGTTAAAAAAAACTGTGAAACTGTTTGCTTGTGAAATGCTCAATTTTTCCACTTAGACTTACTTTGCGTCCTGTAAATAGCGAATGCGCTCTTGGCGCGACGCAGCTGGGTCTTAAAGGGAATGGGAGATGA